TGCTACACAGATAGACTTCCACTTTCTCATCTCTAGTATCGCCCAAACATGCCTCCTATTCAATGGTTGCCTCATTAAACTGAATATCTGAGATAGGTCTAATTTTGCTTCAGGGAAATGTGCTGGTGCTGAGAAGAATATATTTTGAAATATAAAGTAAAGTAGCCTCTAGTACACAGAAAGGTATATAACCATAAAACAACTATTTAAATATATATATTTCTTTAAAAAAACCAAAAACCTAACAGGGTCATGTCTAGGGAAAAAGAATGGAAGCCTTTGGCCTTCCGTTTTGGGACTAAAGCCCCCTAGGCCAATCTAAGCCTGATGTAGAAGACTGGATCAGCCAACATTGCTTTCTCCTTCCAAAACAAGCAGACAACAAACTGCCCAGCTTTGTGAGAGCCCAATTTAACTCTTCCAGTCTTCCCTGCAATTCATACAACACAGCTCAGAGAGATTGACCAGAGGATATACAAGTACTCATTTGTTCAACTGACCATGTGAATGGCCAATTTGAATGTGAGCCCCAAGAGCATTTTGGTTCTCACTTACAGATGACCAGCCTTTCCACAGCACAATTCCTCTTATTCCACATGTAAAATGTACCCAGGGTTGAAAGGCTGTTCAGACCATTTCAGCAGGACAGGATACTAGGGGGAACAGTCACCTCTTCTTTGTGAGTCATGGAGGACCAACAGCCAATCAAAACTTACCATGTATCAGCCAATCATTGGACCTGCTGCTTGGAGACCATTCTTACTCATCCAGGTGGGCACAAATGATACTGTAAGACATGATCTCCAGTGTATCACAAATGACTTAATGGCTTAGGGAGGAGGGTGAAGAATCTTGAGGCACAGGTAGTGATTTCATTACTACTTCTGGTTGAAGGCAAAAGTCCAGTAAGAGAAAGGAAAATGTTTCAGGTGAACTCAGGGAAGAGTTTTAGGAAGGCCAATGTTAATAAACTAAGAGAAATAGTAAGGAAGATGCCATTAGCAAGAAGATGACAACGGATGAAGAAAATTTAACAAATGACCAAGAAAAAACAGAAGAATTCTATTTGGCCTCTGTCTTTACACCCAAAGGAAAGGGTGATTTGAGTAGTACAGACTAGAAATGAATACAATAGAAGAAGGTGCAGGTCAGTAAGGATGTAATAAAGGAGCCTCTGGGTATTTTGAATACCTTCAGGCCTCTAAGCCCTGATGAAATAC